TGCATGCATGCATGCATGCATGCATGCAGCGCTGGCAGCCCCGCCACAGCAGCGAGTAGATGATGGTATTCATTGTTAAGAGAGCAAATTGCTTCTCTAACTCAAACAAAAACAAAAAACGTTTGGGGTCCTCTCTAGAAATGCAGCGGCAGAAGAAATCATACTCGCATGCAAACTGCATGCGTGCACACACACAGCCCCAAAGCTACAGTGCATGCACTCACTGCATGCGTGCAGCGCGTGCATGCACTCACTGCATGCGTGCAGCGCATGCATGCATGCATGCATGCATACATGCATGCACTGTAGCTTTGGGGCTGCACGGCGTTGGGGTTTGTTTGTTTTAAAACATTTTTGTGTTTTTCTTTGGTTTTTCTCTCAAGTTGAAATTACTCCGCCATTTGTTTGTTTATAATTATTTTGCAGTGCGGTGTACGTACACCTGAGTTAGAATTAGGGGTAAATAAAATAAATAAAAAGATAAGTAGAATGCAGCTTATAGATATTTTAAGCAAAGTGCATGCAAACTGCAACAGCAATCCAAGATGCAGCCGCCAAATCCTAAACCCTAAACCCTAAACCCTCAGCCGAGGCCCTTGTTATTTCTCAGCTGTATAGACAGCTACTCAATGCTGTTATACAAAACAAATAATAATATTAATAATAATAGAAAATAGAAGAAACAGATAAAGAAATAAAGAGACAGAGAAATTAACCTCCTTTATGCTGCATGCACTGCAGCGACGAGGAGGCTACAACTGTCTCCTTTGGCGCTCATATCGCCTGCCAGTTTTGGGGCTGCATGCGCAGCTGTGGGGCCCCACAGGGGGTGTGGGGTGTACCTACTTGGGGTGTACATACACTGCAACTACAAGAACCGTCTTAATAGAATAAAGCAGCAGCAGCAACAGCAACGGCAGCAGCAGCAGCAGCAGCTGATGTTCTGCTTCTGCGAAAAGACTACCTAAAAACATAAAAAGAGTGCAGCAGCAGCAACTGTGCTGCCAGGCGCTGCTATCGGTTGTACTCACTGCTGCTGCTGCTGCTGTTGCTGCTGCTGCTGTTGCTGCTGCTGCTGTTGCTGCTGCTGCCGTTGCTGCTGCTGCTGTTGCTGCTGGTTTTCACGAGGAAGAAGGAAATAGCTGAAGGTGCTCCTGCGGCCTCTGTGCTGGTAGAGGGGCTTGCTGCATTTGCTGCTGCTGCTGCAGTTGCATAGGATGCTGCTGTACCTGCTGCTGCTGCTGCGGCTGCTGCAGTTGCATGAGATGCTGCTGTACCTGCTGCGGCTGCTGCTGCTGCAGTTGCATGGGTAGCAGCAGCTGTTGCTGCGGCTGCAGGTGGATCGGCTGCTGCTGCTGCTGCTGCACCTGCTGCTGCAGCAGTTGCATCGGCTGTTGCTGCTGCACCTGCTGCTGCTGCAGTTGCATGGGCTGCTGCTGCGGCACCTGATGCTGCTGCAGTTGCATGGGCTGCTGCTGCGGCACCTGATGCTGCTGCTGCACCTGCTGCTGCTGCTGCTGCACCTGCTGCTGCTCCTGGGGCAGCTGAAGACGGTGTATAGGGGGTAGGGGTTTATCGAGGTGCTCCCACTTCAATACATGCAAAATAGATGCTTGATAAGACTGTAAACGAACAAAAACAAACAAAATAAATAAAAATAATTAAAACTAATAATAATAATAATATACAGGCTTCATAAAACTGTAAACAGCAGCAGCGGCAGCAGCAGCCTGCACAACAGAAGCAGCAGCAGCACTAGTAATAATAATAGCAGCAGCAACAGTACTAGCAACAGCAACAAGAGCAGCAGCAGCATGTATGCAGCAGCCTGAACAGCAGAAGCAGCGCCAGCAGCAGCACAACCAAGAGCACGAGCAGCAGCACAACCAAGAGCACGAGCAGCAGCAGCAGCAGCAGCAACAGCAGCAGCAGCAGCAGCAGCAGCAGATACCCCAAGAGCATGTAAGATGCCTCTGAGTGCATTATTTTCTTTTTTGTGTTTTTCTACGACGCAGTCTTGCATCCACTCTGCAGGGTCGGCGTTATCATCAATTGCTTTTAATAAGCCTCCGCAAACAGCAGCATTACTCAGAGGCCCTGCTGCTGCTGCTAGCTGCTGCAGACGCAGCAGCAAACGCTCATAACGAATCCTGAAGAAGACACAAGCAGATGCAACAGCAGCAAATACACATGCAGCAGCACCAAAATACAGCAAAAACAGCAGCAGCAACAGCAAAGGCAGATGCAGCAGCAGCAGCACCAGCAGCAGAATGGATATGCAGCAGCATAATCAGATGTCGCAACACAAACACAAATTAAAGCAGCAGCAGCAGCAACAACAACAGCACGAGCAGCAAAAGCACGAGCAGCAGCAGCAGCAGCAACAACAACAGCACGAGCAGCAACAGCACGAGCAGCAGCAGCAGCAGCAGCAATAGCACGAGCAGCAACAGCACGAGCAGCAGCAGCACCAGCACGAGCAGCAACAGCACGAGCAGCAGCAACAGCACGAGTAGCAGCAGCACAAGGAGCAGCAGCAGGAGCAGGAGCAGCAGCAGGAGCAGCAGCAGCAGCAGCAAGTATTGTACAGTATCTTCCCGAGTTTCTTTGCTGCTGCGGTGTCTGCTTTGTTAACGATAATTCTGTCGTCTTGTAAAATCAGCGACATCTTCGTCAGTAAACGCACCGCTGCAGCAATAAATAAATTAAAGTATATAAATTATATTTTTATTAATTTGCTTCTTTATTTTAATTCATTTAAATAAATATAAATAAATATAAATAAAAATATATATATAAATATACATATATATATATGTATATTTATATATATATATGTATATTTATATATATATGCATGCATGCATTTGCATGCGTTTAAATATATTTATTTGTTTTTTTATCCAGATGCAGATTTATTTTAATATATTTAAATGTTGTTTAATATACAGAGATAAATAAAAATAAATAAATAAACAAAAAAAAAATAAATTAAAAGAGACAAACAGATAATCCAAAGGAGACAGTTAAATAAAAGGAGACAGCTAAATAAAAGGAGACAGCTAAATAAAAGGAGACAGTTAAATAAAAGGAGACAGCTAAACAAAAGGAGACAGCTAAACAAAAGGAGAC